CACATTCTAAAAAGTAAATCTAAAATATCATAAGAATTTTCACTGAAATGGCAATAAAAACATTCGTTTGCTATAATTTCTACAATAAAGTAGTACAGCACAAAAACTTTTATAGAGAAAAAGTGATGACAATACAATTAGTATTGTTGTACTGTTGATTTGAATAAACTATTGTGAGTAAAACTCTTTATATACGTATATACTTAGAAAAAAAGAAACACAAGTTATGTTTCATTAATAATATTAATTGAATAAATTTAGTTAGCCTAATATGTCTTCTTCTCTCCAACTTAGAAACATTTTTGCAAATAAAAAGTTTAGTGCTCTAGCATTCTTATGATTGACAATCTACACGGATTCAAACTTTACGCTTCCAGAAATATTTTTAATGTATGCTTTGAAAGGTTAATGATTAAAAATCTACCAGGGACATTAAACAAATAAACATACTTAGCATATAGTAGGAAGACTGATAATTAAAAAAACTAATGCTCATAAGAATTCAAATAATTGATTATTATAAATAAATAGATGAATAAATATAAATAGAAAAACAAATAAAAACAAATATTATAGATTTTACCAATTTAATTAATATCTAATCAAATTATTAAGAGACACCTCATTCATCTTCTGTAAATTTAAAACTAACAAGATTCTTGAATGTCGTGAAAAATTTCGAGACCCTTAGAACGCTATTTAATCTGTGTAACTGTTCGGCGGTTTTTAACATTACAGGTATACGGCTTTAGGACCACCTTAACGACATGGACAAAGATATTGTCTTTATTCTTAGAAAGAGTAAGAGAAAATATAGCTTAGGGCATTTCTAGCTAACCACTTTTAAAACCCCCTCTATTTTTCAAGCTGACAGAAATATCCGGGGTTTTGTCTCCTGCTTCACAAGATAAGAGTCGCCGGACCATCCTTTTTTTTTGCGCCTTTTCATAGTGCCGGTAACGGCTTGTTCAAACAGAATTGCCACTTTTCTGTGAATACTCGGAATCGAAGAACCGTATTTTTATTGAAATAATGAATCCAAAACTACAACATTTAATACTTTGAACTCGGCAACCATCCACAAATTGTGTGAAATGATTGAAGTGTCGATTCGGTTGAGTATAACTCAATTTAATGTTTCAGATTTCTTAGGATTCTTGAAAAAGAATATTAAAAGTAAAATATAATATTTTATTTTCAAAACAGAAATTTTTATAAAGGTGAATTGAGGATCACATATATGATTACTATTTTCCATAGAGAATATCAAATTTTGTTGTGATGATTAATTATTCTAAAGATATGAATTGGTCCATGAACAATTTATTTTAGGTTAAAAAATTTTTAACTCAAATAATAATCCCATCATCATAGAATTTTAAAAGTTATGAACTGAAGGGTTGTTAACCAATTAAAAGCTTTTTTTTTTTTTTTTTAAAATGATTAAAGTCCTTTGGAGTTAGTAAAATTCTTCATAGTAGAAAAATAGCTTTTACTAATTGAAAATATAAATAATTTAATAATTTGTGTTGTTCAAACAGAATTCAACAATTTAAATAAGATATTGTGAATAATAAAAGTACTCTTATTTGCAATTTTCCCCCAATATTTTGAAAATAAAAGAAGAAAAAAAATAGGTTGCATTATCGACACGATTATTTCATTTAAAATTTATTAATTCTTTAAATGTTTCTGGGATCCCGAAATGGACGAAACTCAGATAACATTGAAATCCGTTTAAATCTCATCACCAATGAAATATCCGATAATAAAAGAATTTAGGCAAAGTCGGGATTTTGGCTTGTATTATCGGTCATCTTGGTTTGAATTATTATAAATGACTACTCTTGGAGGAAAAAAAAACTAAATTTAAGAGCAAACAATCTTTAATAAAAAATAAGAAAAAACAAGCATTAGAGATTTGTCAGAGAAACTAAAGCAGAAAAAATGAAATGATAAGATGAAATTAGCTGTAAACCTCAGAATAAAGTCTTAAAATCTGTGATGAAACTACTAATTACCAGCATAGAGGGAGGGAAATGAATAATAATATCAAGAATTATAAATAGCTATATTTTCTGATAATTACGTTAAGTTAAAAAAAAAACTTTACCTTGAAATATAAACTCTATTACCGGTAATCGTGATTTCTCCATTTTGAAATAATTTTTACGAACAGAAATCGGGTTGGAGCACTATTCATTATGGTATGTATGATAGATAATCTGATTTTTTGTTTCAATTTTGCATGTATAGCCATCGATATTGATACAACTATTTTGCATTGCAGAAATATTGTTTACAGATATTCTATGTACTATATTTGTTTATACATCTATATACTGTCTGTTTGAATGTATAATCTTGATAACGATAATTTTTTGCACTTGATAAAATTCTGTAACAGAAACTTGTCTCAATCTGTTGTTAGTTTTAATGAAAATCAATAAATGCTTTTTCTTTCACAAAATTTTGATATCGTAATTTTTTTATTTTATTTACATCGATTATTTTGATACATCTTCATATTTATTACAGTGAGCAGCCTCATAAATCTAAATCTTGAAATATAAAAAAACATAGAATTGTTTTATTTTGTTGTTTTTAAGGATTCTTCGAAATGATCTATTATGTTATTATGTTATAATTTATTTTTACAACAGAAAATACTATTTATGAACCAGCAAGACTGAAATGAAAGAATTAAATCAATTTTCCTATAATTTTACTTTTACGTTTAGAAAATTACACAGCTTATCAAAGATAGCTTTTCGAAATAAGTTATTCCTTTGAAATTTATTTATTTGTCATGTCTTTTTTTAACGGTATTTACAAATAAAGTGCTTTTATTATCCACTTTTAGCATTATTCTCTGTTATAATTATTATGGTTATTATAATTTTAACTTAAATGCCTAAAATTAAAAATGACGTTCCTTCATTATATAAGTAATCACAAGACATTACTTAATAATTTAGTACTATTTGATAAAAATATTAATACCGTTTAACAACAAAAAGCAATAAGTTATATTTTTTTAAAAAAATAGGCTTCATATAAGACTATGCTCTCTCAAAATATGCAGTGTAATAAATTTATAATAAATAACTGTTTTAGATCAGTAAAAAAAAAAAAAAATCTTATTATTGTTAAATAATATTTTTGGCGATAAGTTTTTAATGTAACAAGTTACTTAACACCCCAGTACACGTATCCCCCACCAAAAAAGTAGGGGAGACAGTGAAACGGGTTTTCAATTTGACAGCTTTGAATTATTACTCTCGCGGAAGGAGGCTGGAGGTGCACTATATTTTTGTTGCCACTCTTACTGAAGACTAAAATGGAAAAGATCGGGCCTCTATATTCTGGTGGCCAAGGTTAGAGGATTACTCAGACGATGAATCTTTAAAAGCTACTTCTTAACTTAACTCTGATTGGATGAATGAATTCTGTAAACGAATAAAAGTTTTAATTATTTTAAAGCAGGTAAACTTGAACCAATCAACACCTACCATTTCTTCAGCATTGATACTCTATAATCTTAGCTGTCAAGCAAGTTGTTTATGTTATTCTTTTGGATTTTCAAAACTTGCAATGCATCTTTGATTAAAACATTCCAGCTTGATCTTTGATGAGCGATGGCGGATTTGGTAGATGAATTTTTACGTTATGGTTTGTTTTTTGGAGCTATATTTCAGTTAGTTTGTATTGCAGCTGTGATTTTTATTCCACCTAAAGAGGAAGGCCGGGTAAGTTCTATTTGTGCTTGAAGAGGTAAAATGACAGGTCTTTATTATTGAGTTATTATTATGGTAGCTTGCTTTCATTAATTAAGTTAATTTTTTTATTACATATAAAAACTGAAAACTGCAATTATTTTATTACAGTTTAAGCAATTATTTTATATTATTTATTTTGGATTAATAAAAAGGAATGTTTTTAAATGAATAGCACATTTTTCAATTTCCATGGGCTTGATACAATAGTAGTGCAGCATTTTTGTGTAGCTAATTCAGTTCTACGCATTATTATTGTATTGCTGATTTGCTAGTTGTGCGTTATGAATGAGGAATAAACAAATGTAGCCTGAAAAGATTGTCTGAAAGTACTTTTATGAAATGACACTTCAATTAATAATTTTAACTTGTAGTTTTATTCTGGAACAATGAATACTATATTATGCTTAATTTCCACCATCTAATTAAATTTATTTAAAATTTTTATTTAATATTTAAAATTTTTATTTAATGTTAAAGCAAAACAGCATGAATTATGCCCGAAAAAAGGATATACTCAGAGCCGGCTTATGCATGTCGCGGCCCCTAGGCAATGCTCGTCTTGGCCCCCCCCCTACCGTCTTCTAACTTCCTAATATATTTTTTCGTTAACACAACACTTTATTCATAATTACGCTGTTTTTTACTACATAGGTATATTATCACATTATTCAATAAAAATATTGAATCAAACGAAAAGAATATAAGTAATTAATATATGCATTAAAAAAAAATCATACAATAAGCTTAATTTAAGCTTATTGTATAGTTTTTTTAAAATTATTAGGTAATAGAATATGTAAAAAATAATAAACTTACGTATAGTAATTTTAACTTCAGTTTACACTACACGGATTTTTACTCGTCGTTTCACCGATTTTCTCGAAGCCCGAAGCACTTCTGCAGTCTTTATAAATAAATATCCAATACTTAGCTCTAAATTCGTAAGTTTTGAAACACAAACTGTAAAACTCTCTTTTCATTCACAGCCGTAAAACTCGCAAACAAATTGCACGAAGTGAAAATTCAACGATTACATTAAAAATGTTTCAAAAATGTTGTCTATGACACAATACAACGTATGTATTTAGCGGATCGGGGAATTCCCCAGTCATGCGACGAACGAACCAGTACTGCCAACCTTATTTTTACATACTCTTTGGTAGCTTGGCCATAGAATATACATACCTATGGTAGGTACCAGAACAGTAAGTGTGCATTCACAACGTAGAATTTTGCGCGTTTTTCAAGCGTGTTGTGTTAAAAAAGCTGCTCTTGCTGTATAGTCATCTGATTAGTCGGCGTTAAAATTACCGCGATAAAATTGCTTGCGATTATATTACTGCGTTATATATGAACTAACTACCATAATATTAATATCTAATTTGGAATGCGTTCAGAAATGTACTAAAATAGCGTCGATGTAATGTACAGAGCAAGACAATCGTCATTGAAATTTCGAATTAAATTTTTACTGTTTAAGAAACATTGTCAATTTTTTTCTCTGTAGCACAGGGCCCCTGAACGTGGCGGGGCCCCTAGGCAGTTGCCTACAGTGCCTAATGGATAAAACGGCCCTGGATATACTACAGTTTTATGGCTCAAAATGACAGGAAGAAGTTACAAGATAAACTCAAGTACTCTTCGAGGAGTTAAAAAGTAGGATAACTTTTCATCCACTTCGTTTTTAGAAGATGGACAGTCAGCTTTTGATGATAAGTTACCCTTAGTAATTGGCAACGATGACAAAGGAAATTTAAAGCTTGAAGGAAGCGGCGTATCTCTATGGAATTACAGATATTTACAGTAATGAACAGGCTTCACCCAGAGACAGAATTCTCATAAACTGTCTTGGGTATAATTTAAAAATTTTTTTTTTTAATTTTCTTTACAAGTAGGAATTAGAGAACGTTATATCAATTTTTTTTTCATGTACGTCCTTTAATTGACCTAAATTTATTATTCGTTTATGTATTTTATTGGTACTCTATCTGGCCAAAAATATCTGGACACCCAGTGGTATGGACTTAGAGTGTCCTGAGGCTCATATTAATATGATATTTGTCCCCCTTTTGCATCGATGACAGTCTGCGCAAGTCTTGGAGGATTTTTCTCCAGTTTTTGTTTGGTGGCCATAGGAATTGACCAAGCCCCGATGTGTGAAGGGAGCAGTTATCCTGCTGGAAGAGAAATGGACTTATCCTGAAATATTTCCATAGAGTTGGGACTGCAGCATTGTCCAGAATGTTCACATGCACCTCAAAGTTCATGTTTCCAACAGCAGGAACTAATAGCCAAACCATGAGAAGCACGCCCACACCATTATGCTTCCACCACCATAACAATCGATTCTCTGGGTACTTTTGGTCAGATAGTGTTTCCGGTAACTTCGCTGCATAATATATTTGTTTCTGTTCAATATGGCTTCATACCTGTCTTTGTGTTACGTAATAAATAAATCAAATCTCTCTTTAGGAAAGAATATTAAGTATGTCATTCATCAGATTTTTTTTTATTGAAGTAACAACACTCTAGTAAAATTGTTTTCTTTTTGCTGTGGGAAATATTGGGACTATTTAAGATTAATATTTATTTTCATTTGAGATATGAAGTTTATTTTGTTTCATAGGATTGTGGGGACTCTAGTGATGAAGATATTTTACCAGATGGCCCTATTCACCAACCATCTCACCGACATCATAGTCATCATGTAGGTCGCCGTAGTCGGCAAGAAAAGAAGAAGCGAAGATAATTTTTGGTGTGTAATTGTCAAGGTAGGGTAGTAAGTTTTCTAACATAGAGCCTTTCTTCAAGCACATTGCAGAGCTGCCAACCTGGAAGTTTTAGCTCTGTATGTTATTTAAAGTGGTTGTGAAATTTCACCAATGGTTCTTAAAATTTCACCATCACCTAACGACATACTGTTTGCTTTTCCAACATTATATATATATACCTTTCAACTATTTATTGTGGTGATCAGAAACTTTTTAAATCAAATCTTAAAACAGAATTTCTGCTTTCACTTTAAATACTTGGAAAAAATCTCTGGCTAAAAACCGGGGAAGTTGGCAGGTCTGACATTGGCTATAAATAAGTAAAATTACTACTTTAAAGAGTTGTGTGGTTATTAGGAATGGGTTTATCAGTATATTTAATATTTTTTATATTGCATTTACAATACCGATCATAAGTACAGACTCGTATTTATTTCAAAACTTTCAAAAATAGTTAAATAATTCTGACTTAAACGTATAATAATATATCAAACATAAACATCAACAAACTTTGCAAAACACTTTCCACATAAAAAAACTGTTCATTATTTTTTCATGTGCTTATTTTGAAGTTGATCACAAAATGAATGAAAATGCCTGCAAATACCTATTCTATAAAAATTTAATTTATTTATAAAATTTCATTGATTTGTAGTTAATAAACAATTAATTTATTTTTGTCTTCTTTTCTAAGGTTAATTTGGTAAGTTCATGTACACGACATATTTAAATTATGTCATTATAGCATGCTTTTGCAAGAATAACCGGTATATATTAAAAACAAATGTTATAATTTTTTTGCTCAATCTATTATATAAATATGGGTCAAAAATCAGAAATAAGTGTTAAAACACATGGAGTTATTGCTGCACTTCATGAAGAAGGCAAGCCGACAGATTGTCTCTAAAATTTTTGTTTTTATGACCTCTGTTCTCAGAGCATTGAATATGAAGAAAGAAACTGACCAAATTAACAGCCTCTAAGGCTTAAGGAGACTTGGAATAATATTCAAATGTGAGGATAAGTTCAGCTGCAGTTAAAGTAAGCGGCAGCAGATTTGGACAGCTCTAGTAATCTGCAAGTAATTCAATGGTACTAGGCAGAAAACTGTTAGTTACTTCTGTATAACGTCAACTTTGTGACTATGGTTTAAAAAGTTGTGTAGCTGCTAGAAAACCTCTCTAGAGATAACAAAACATAGTTAAGACTGCAATGAACCAAAAAACATGTTAACTGGTCTTTAGAACAGTAGTTTGAAGTTTTGTTTACTGACAAGTCAAAATTTGAATTTTTTGGAAACAAATAAAGGCAGTATGTTTGTCGTTTCGTTGCTGGGCGTATGACAAATTAATGTATGCTCCTAACTGTGAAGCATGGGGGAGATTCAGTCATGGTTTGAAGATGTTTTGCTGGTGACAAAGTTGGAGATAAGAATAAACTTGTGACATCTCTCTTTTGTGAAATGTTTTACCTTGGTTCGCTCAATTATTCACTTGCAAGTATAACAAGAATTTTTTATATATAATATTTTAATTTAGCATTCTTGATTATCTACATATTTACAATTAAATATCAACAGGTACACAAACTACATTACATAACTCCCAAGCTCCATTGCTCCCTACTGCCTCTCTACTCTCTCTCTCTCGCCCAATCTCTCTTCTCTCCACATTCCATTCATATTTAATCCTTTTTTTCACAAAAAATGTCCTTCACTTCTTACTCCACCCCCACTCTGGGGAACAACACTTCTTGTGTCCGTCACCCTCTGACCTTCAGGTCAGGGGTCAATCAAATGCATGGGAGAGGAATCAGAATCCTGACAAAAAGGAATTAATATTATCGTAGAATATTGCAGTGTTATGCTTTCTCATGTGGACAGAGGATTGTGAGTCAAGGATTTATTTTTCAGCACCCAAACATTCATCAAATTGTGTAGAAACTGAATTGCATCAAAAGTACTAAAATATATAAACACCAAGTACTGAAATATATGGAGTGACCCCACTCAATTCCCTGTTCTTGATCCCCTTCAACTATAATTTTGCCATTTACCTTCCATAATTATGTGCATTGCTTAAGAAATAAAAGGACCATCCTAAATAACTTTTGATCTAATGATTGGATCTTCACGTTCTAGGACTCAATCTTAATTGTTCAAGGGGGGCATATTTGAGGTTATGCAATAACCTCAAATATGCTAATTACTTAGTGTAGAAAATATTTTAAGTTACCAAATCAAACACAAAAATGTACTTTCTCTGAATAAACATATTTTTTTCAATGATTTTAGATTTTTCATAACTTAAAATATTGTCCGCAGTAATGAATTAGCATATTTGAGGTCACCCCCTCGAATCATTAAGATTGAGTCCTAGAATGTGAAGTAGTGTTCTCCCTAAGCATTTTTAGACAGGCACCCTGTCTGCCCTTTGATCCATATAAAATATGCACCCTGCTTGACTTCTTTGTGAAAACAAGCCGTCATCCCTTCAAAGCACTGCCTTTTTATTTTATTTTTTCAGGAAAAGGCTGTTTTCTTAAATTTTTTTGTTATTTTGAAAATGAGTGAGAATTATTTTGTGAAATATATACATAAAATAGTATAAAAAGGTAATTTAAAAATTGAGCATCAAATTCAGTTATTGCAAACAGTGGTAGGTGAGTGCCCTTTAAAAACTCCAAGTGCCTTTTTCTGTGAAGTAGCACCATGCCCTCTTTTATTCATAGGAAAAACTCTGCTTGAAGATTAGATCAAAAGTTATTTGGGGGTCATTTTTTTGGCACACTGTACTATTTTAATATAATCTGATAAATTCTAAGTTAATTTTTTTGAATAATTCTGAACATTAAACTCTGTTTAACTTTAGGAAAAGTTTGTGTTATTTATGAAATAAGTTATTTCCATGTACTGATTTTATGGCTTTGATAAAAGTTACCATTTAAAATATTCTATCTTGTAATACTTCTTTGTGTGCTAATTTTTTTTAAAAAAAAGTAATTCTTATTATGTTTAAATTATATTTAAAAAGGAGTTTATACTATCAGTTTTTTTTTTAAATGTTGGAGAGTTATTATTTGAAGTAAGACATAGCTTTGGTTCTGCTTTATCACAAACATTTATAAATTGAGTTGCTTCCTCTATAAATGTTATATTTTGGTGGTTTGTTAAATTAGTTATATCATCTTCTAATAACTTTAATATTCAACCTGCAAAATTTTATACAAGACTTTTCTCAAATACTTATAAAATGAATTCTTATTTTTTTCTCATTTTCTTTTACAATAACTTCTGTATGTTTTTTTTTTCTTAATATTTTGATAAAAATGACCATACATTTCATGCATTTTTTCCTCAATGGCCAAGAGCCCAGAATGACATTTGGCTTTCTCAAAAATTTTTTTTTTTGGATGCAGTCTTCATCCATTCTAGCAACGTAGCGTGCCTATTTTATTAATTGTTTGGGGAAATTAATGATATCAAGTTCAGTAAATGAGTGATAAAGTTCTAAATTTATTCTTCTTAGCCACATGCTATTTTTTTAAAATTCCGTCAAAAATAGCTCTTTTTGACGATACCAATCATGTTTTCATCAGAATCGGACATGGACCAAGCATCACAAGCATAAGTTAAAATAGATTTTATGAGACTTTTGTATTAAAACCTTTGTTTTCTTTTGATTACATTCGATTTCGGATATATTTATATTCCATTAAAATATCTGTTGGCTCTAATAGTTTCTCTTTTGTGATTTCAGTTGTAGTATAAATATTTTTTTTTTGGTTTCAGATCCTAAATAAGTGAAGCTGTCAGCAGCCTCAAAATTTTACTCTTCAATTTTAAAGTGGGTAATGTTTTAATTAGATTTTGTGCAAGGCATGTATTTGGTCTTATTCTGAATTATTATCAGATCCTTGTTGGAATCTTACCGCTTTTCCTAATTCTGGAGGAAGGCACAGAAGGAAAGGTGTTCATCACGCTGTTGAACACTTTTTTTTTACCATAGGATGTGATAGATTATTCTGTATTTTGACCTTAATTTTAGCTTCATTTTATGTCAGGCTTAGCAATCATATTAAATAGTTAGGAGTTTTAAACTTTCTCATGGCTGTGATAAGAGCCTTTCTATTAATACTATCATAAGCGTTTTTGAAGTCAATATGCAGGTAGTGTGTATCAATTTTAAAATATTTTGTCTGTTCCAAAATCTCTTAAATGTTGAATGTTGTTCAGTGGTGCTCCTTTCCTTTCAAATTCTGTTCTAATAATCTCCAGCTGTTTTTTCCACAAATGCAGAAAGTCTGATAAGTAGAATGTTTGAGTATTCTCAAGTTTCATGCATTAAATTAAAGTAGCATTTCTATTATTTTTACAACTATTTTTTTCAGGAAATAAGCGTGAATCAATGCAAACTTAAGTGAATAAAAGGTAGCAGAAATAATGATATGCTTACTTTTTTGTGTGTGCTCATTACTGCTGTCTTCACTTTCTTTAATACAACACAAATAAATAGTGGCTTACTCAATAAGTTGAGGCATTAATAATTCAATGAAATGCCTTCTAAAAAGTGAGTTTATTCTTAAATAAACACAATTAGTAATTATTAGTTGTTGAGCTAGTGCTCTTAACAAGATGGAGGGTGTATGAGTAGTAAAGTGAAACTTATTAAAGTTATACTACATTACATAATTAATTAGTGCCATCCAGTTGTTAAAATAATACACGTTGAATTGAAAGATACTCATAATAAGATAAATATATTTTATAGCAATAACTATGCCAAATATGTTTTGTTTGAGTATTTGCTTTAACTTATATGGAATATGCTCCACCGCCGTGGTTTCGCCACAGGTGCCCACTGGGTAACGAGAAGAGGGTAGCAGTTCTGGCACTTTCTGAGGCCAATGGACAATAGTTCCAAGTGCCCGCTATTAAAAAAAAAAACTTCTATGCAATACATTCAGTCATAGTTAACATGCCAACTTTCTATGATTTTTGAGAAATTTTTTTCCATTAGAAGCTAAGTTTATTTTTAATGTGCTGATTCTTTGTTTTGTAAACATGATAAGTTATTTCCACACCACTTCATGTAAAGGATACAAAAGTCAATATAGTAAGTTATACCTTTATATATTATATTTTATATATTTAAAAGTTAATATAATAAGTCATGCTTTTGTTGTTAAAATATTTCAGAGCGTTTTTGTGTTCTATTTCTTTAAACAATTTGGTTAGTAAAACTAATATGTTGACAACGTTATTATAACCTATTTTAAAATTCAATAAACTTAATGTATCAAATATTTATACACTTATCTTGTTTTATTACATTCTTTCTGTTGATATTCAAGCAGTTTACTAATTGTATAACAAAATTAGTTTTGTGATAAAAGAAAAATAGAAACTGAACAATAACATTAAAGGCAATATTAAAAATAATAAATATGTTATTTCAATATTTGTTTAGACTTTGTATTATATGTTTTAAATATTTTGCAATATTATTTTAATATATTGCTAATATAAATAATACTGGAAATAATATTTTGTAGTATTATTTACAAAATCAAGCAATTGCTATCATCAGTTATTCTAAACAAATAAAGTAACTACATCTTTAAAATTATACTGACCTTCTCGATAAAAGGGTGTCACCCTATGTGTGTCAATAAAAAATCTTTATGTGTGTGTGTGTGGGGGGGGGGATACGTGTTTACAATGAAACATGACTTATTTAAATTTTTTTTTCCAGGTTCATTTTGTGTTTCATCATCTGAATTTTTGTTGGATCATTTTATTTGATCCTTTTGGAATGTTCTGTAAATTTGTTATAATTTTTGCACAAATAAAAGGTTTTGTATGAAAAAGTAAAGCTATTTAGCAAGTGTAATTTTTTTTCTCACTTTGCTTTAAAAGAACAATATATAATCTGAAGCTACCAACTTTTAAGTATTTTGTGTAAAATTATGCCTTCTATTTATTTCTTCTGTTATAAATTTAATTTAAAATGATTTTGGATTTTCAGTGCACTTAAATAAATTAATCATATATACAATGAAACATCTCGAGAGTGACCACTCTCCATTCCACAGTAAAATGGTGGTTGATGGAGGTTGGTCAGTTTTAGAGATAACCTCCATTGATTTAAAAATTGTTATCGAAGGTACATTGTTTTTTCTAACAATTTTAATTTAAGTCTGTGTCGTTTTCATGGTACGGAAATGCACTTCTGTTGGTGTTAGGATGGATCTATGAATAAAATTTAGCTTCTATAAAAATTATCTCAACTGATATAATTATGTGTAAAAACAAATTTACCAATTATGAATGATAAAGCTATTTTAAATAAATAAACGATTATGTTTTTTGTTTAAGTTAGCATTTTATTTTATATCATAAAAATTAGATAGCTTTAAAAGTAGAGAAGACATTAGTTTATTTGAGATGCTTGTTTTTTCTAAAATAATTTTTTTTTCTAATTTAACTTTCGACTCTAAAAGTAAATCATTGATAGCATCATCTTTTGTGCACTCAGACTTCAACATGATGTTGTATCGTCAAAAGATAAGATCCTCGCGCAAATGTTTTGAATACATTTTAATCTACTTAATTGTTTTGTTAAATTTTTTGTTTTTATATTTTTTCGTGTTTCCTTATTTGACCTTTTCTGTATTTGGTGCAGATATTTTTTGGATCTCTGGGAGAGGTTTTATTGCTCTCTCCTAAAGGTTTTCTTCAACACAAAATCTATGGGAATTATGTGCCTCCCAAAATTGGTTTTAAATAGAGGTGGTCTTTCCTGCAGGTTTCACTGTATATAGCCTAATCCAAAGTTTTGGGTGTAACATTTACACAAGATAAATTGGTCATTAGTTAAACCTTATTTTAAAGCATTAGTTTAAATTTATATGGATTTCGCTGTTGACCACCTTCATATACATTAGTACAAATCTGCAAGTTGCCTTGTGTTTAATTTATTTTTTAAAAAAACCCCCATTTGTTGCGGTACGATATGAAAAGGGCATGTATTTTTTATCTTTCACTACTAAAGTTCAAAATTCTGTGAATTATAACAACTGTGTGAACTGTGTTTTTTATGCAATAATGATAAAGTAAGTATCCAATGAAAAATTAAATTATCTTAATTCTTGCTTGTATTGGAAATATTCGAAGTTTCTTTGTGGTTGTAACATCCTGTTGCTGGTGTGACTAGTATAACCAATGCAATAATGACTCAACAAATTTTTACAAAGCAGATTTTTTTTAATAAATATATTAATGAATGATACAGTAATAATATTTTATTAAAAAGTAATAATATTAATTTTTCTTGCCTCACATTCTTCCTTTGTCACTGTAATTGTTTTTCTTTCTTAGCTGTTTTTTTTTTTTAAAAAGATTTTCTCCTTACGTTTACTTCCCCCCCTCCCTTTTGTAGATCTGCATATTTAAGGGGTTTTCTTTAATCTTTTTCCTTTTGTGTTATCCTTTCTTCTGAAAAAGAAATTCATGAAAAAATTGAATATAGCACTAAATGTCAAAAAAAATACATATTTAACAAATTGTAAATATTTTTATTTAAATGATTTAAAAAGTATATCTTAGAAAAAATTAAATGCTAAATTGTTTTGAAATTTCAAACTCTGTATCTATATTTTATGCTAACTTTATAAACATTTAAATAACTGTTTCTCTGATTATTTTTTTCTTATTCCTTCTTTTTATTTAATTTAAGTAAAAATAGACGGGACATCTGCTCCTAATATTATATTTATTTAAAAAAATTTAAAAAAAACTTTTTTTTTTTTTTGAATTTCACCAGAATTCTCACTTTTTAATTTAATTTGTTTATCATATATAATTTTCAAATTTTTTTTTTTGAGGAAGCAACAACTTACAATCTGAACTGAATTAAATAAACAATTGTACACAATGCCACATGTTCAAATGAGGCTAATATTAATTTATCAGCTGAGGTTCTCAAAATAAATCAAAGGGTCAATCGCAACTAATTCAATCAATCGTTATTGTTGTCATTTATATATTTCCAGCACATTTTTTCATAATTTTGCTTAATAGTTTGTTTAAATTGCATTTGTGCTTATTTTGAAATAAAATTTTGTGGGCCATAACATGTCATGTGCCGGCCAGGTAGCCGAGTGGTTAGCGTGCCTGACTACGAAGCCAATGGCTGCGGGTTCGAATCCCGCTCTGGGCATGTGTCTCTCTCTCTGTTGTTTTCTGATGTGTGAATGTATGACTGTGTCCCACCCTATGAACGGGTATTTGTGGCAGTGTGGGTAATGTTGCTCGCCTCCGTGACTTTGGTTCACAGGTGCCCACTGGGTAACGCTAAATGAGCAACACTTCCGGCATCTTCTAAGGCGAAGAACGAAAGTTCAGTGCCTGCCGTTATTAAAAAAAAAAAAAAAAAAAAAAAAAAAAAAAAAAAAAAAAACATGTCATGTTTTGTGACAGGAACAAGTAAATATTTTAATTAAATTATTAAAACATAAAATTTTATTTTGTTTCTGTAATTCAAAGTATCTTGATAAACTATTTTTGAATACTAAGTATCAAAACTTAAATTCAAATGAATTTTTCTGTAGAGGTATAAATGTAAATTTCTGTAGCCAATGTAACAATAATTAAGAAAAAAAAATTAAATATGCTTACTCTCTTTGCAGGAAAAAACTCTCAATACTAGCTGTCAGATTAAGTATACAAATTTAGAGATTTGCAGAATTACTTGATCTTGATCAGCTATACGAGATCTGAAACATAAAGATTTTTGGCGCAGTTTTTTAACACAGATATAGTATGTCTTTATAATTTAAAATAAGCAAGTTAATGAGAAAAATTTCATTATTTTTCATAAAAATATGAAGTTTTACTTTTACAATTAGAATTCAAATTTCAAACATATCAAAATTTCCATAATTTCAATCCCAGCAGATTACCGAAGTCAAGCATCGCTGGCTACGGTCAGTGTGCAGGTGGGTGACCACTTGGATCAGTGTGCGTAGGGACCGAGGGTGTGCGGTATTGGTCCTCGTTAAACTGTGCTACCGTAAAGTGCTCGACTTCGCGCGCAGGTCGTCGGGCTACCGAAGCGAGGGTGCCATCCCCTCCGCAGAGGATCAAAATTGTGATGGCATGTCTTCGGATCATCCTCTGGGATGTTTCCCAGACCGTCGCCAATAGCCCATTGTGCAGCTCTAGTGCGACGTAAATTAACAACAACAACAACATAATTTCAAACATATTTAAATTTTCCTCCTCATGTCCACTTTTTATGGGAATTGAGCGATGTAAAGGTATGATGGCGCATTTAAGGTCTTATAAACTGGAAAAATATATATTTCTGTATGTAACTGTAATTCAATTTTAATTTTACAACCACTTTGGAAAATCCCCCAAAAGATTAAAAACTGGCAAGTATGATGATTTTTCACACCTAGTATAAATTTTAAAGCTTTTTTTTTATATAATATTTTTTGTGAAATCTAATCAGGTTGTCAAAACATGTCACTCTTATGCTGATTGCGATAAAATTATTATAAATTCATATGCATAATTTTAAAATTAGCAAATTTATGAGTATCTAGATACCTGCGACGATCAGCTGGTATGCCTTCTTGAACTCGCCGCTTCACGGTTCCACATTTCGTCAACAGGAATGTGATTCTTCCTCGGATTTCCTCTTTTTTTCAGATTTTTCCATTTCCTCGGAAAATTGTTTTTTGCACAAGTTAAAATATTTTATTTATATTTAATTTTCTGCGGATCAAAAGTATTGAAGTCCTCATTCCTCCTTCTGAAGTTTCTCTAAAAATCATTTCCTTGGGATAAAACTGGTTGATAAGGATGAGATTTTTACGCTTTTGTCTCTCGAATTTCAGCCTTTTTATCAAAAACTCCGATTCTCTAAAAGTTTCGGTTTTTTTAATGAATGTCCCGCTTTTTTTTAAAAAAAAATTCAGTCGTTGAAATAAAATAATTATTGGCGATCGAAATGGGCTGCAGGTGGCGTAGAGCAGAACTATTTTCCTATGGCAACACTTCACATGCTTTCCCCATTAGCGTGTGGAAAGTCATAGAGGAAGGAAGTACGTTTGTTTCTCTCTTGATTTTCATATAGATTAAAATCTTTTAAGTTGGAAAACTATATGGAACTTAAAACTAAATTAAACATAGTTCTAAAGAAAAGTATCATGGAAATTTTAAGAAATATTTTTATTACATGAAAAGGAAAAATATTAAGAAAAGGGAAAATATCGTAGTACATTCCTATACAATTGATAAAAGGAGGAGAGGGAAGGGAGAAGGGCTAAAGGCATGAAACCGGTCTCTCCCCAGATGGCGTGTTCGAGTGTTGCGATCGCGAATATTTATTTACGATTTTCAAAGATGAACAGAAAATTCAAACTACGCCCTAGCTGCTAACCCTTCCGCATTTTTACTTATTTTAGCTATTTTCTCCGATTTTAAGCACAAAAAATAAGATTTTCCGTATTTTTATCCGTAAGCCGGATAGCTAGTATTTTCGTAATTCGGACGTCACTGTTTCCGGTTTTCTGGCGTGAAACGTGAAAGCAAACTGAAAAAGAAAAAAAAAAAAAATAGAGGTGGATTTGCAGTGAAAATATTTATTTGCTCATTCAATTAATCTGGTAAATTTTTATTTATTATGTCTTAACAAAAACAATACAAACAAGCCTTTTAGAAATCCCAAGTCCAGACTCTGCAAATATCTCGATTCTTATTCACTCGATTTTAATATCAATCATCGATTTTCATACTTACCCGATTTAAAAGTTGCGCATTGCGATTCTTATTTACGCTATTTAAATATCGTACATTATGATTCTT